AAAAAATGTCATAGTATAGTATGGCATAAAAATGTCAAAGTATATAATGGCATAAAAAGTCAAAAAAAAGTCATAGTATAGTATGGCATAAAAAGTCAAAAAAAGTCATAGTATAGTAAGGCATAAAAATGTCAAAAAACGTCATAGTATAGTATGGCATAAAAATGTCAAAAAACATCATAGTATAGTATGGCATAAAAATGTCAAAAAATGTCATAGTATAAAAAGTCAAAAAATGTCAAAAAAACGTCATAGTATAGTATGGCATAAAAATGTCAAAAAAACGTCATAGTATAGTATGGCATAAAAAAGTCAAAAAACATCAATTCATAGGGCATAAAAACATCAAAAAACAAAACAGTATAGCATCAAAAAGTAAAAAAAAGTCATAGTATACTAGGGCATTACTAAACTATGACGTTTTTTGACGTTTCCAGAATAGAGGCTATAGTTGGCTTTAAAGAGAGGAATGTAGGGAGAGAAGAGGGTGAAGATGCATTTCTTCGGTTCATTTTTTATTGTACAAGGAGGATTGTTGGCAGGTGCTCGTTGCATCACTGTAAGTTCTTTTGGTTTATATGTAACATAACTAATACATCTGATTCAAGCCTCTCATACCAGTACTACTCTTCAAAACAAGACTGAATTGTAGGCCACCTTAATACGAACCTGAAATATCTTTGCTTATGCAGTCACTTTTTTTTTAGTCAAATGCCGATGGTAAACAATCAAAGGCTAATTTTAAGTTTCCCTGTAGTCCAGTTAAACAGATTATCCAGGAAATGTTAAGTACTGGACCTCGGTATCACTTCAAGTTGATCATGTGTTTGGTCTGTAAGTCCTCTCCTACTGTTAAAGTAGCATTACTGAGGGTGTAGGATTAACTCACTAAATCCTCCAGTGCCTTCTCTGTCTTTCAGACATCCACACAGTCTTTAGTGAAGGGCAGGCTACAGTCTGTATTCTGACCTGGATTAACACTATGTTGGGTTTGCCATGTACTTTATTGCTCCTCTGTGGTCCTATCAGCAGGTCCTGCCACGTTCACGCGCTATTGGCCTGAAACTGTAACACGAGAGTCTGCTCTCTGAAGTCTAATGTAATCTATTGTCATATTTAATGAATGATTAATGATATCTAACTCATTCAATAGTTTTCTTTTGCAGTTAAATGCTTTGTGCCACAGTGGTGGAGACAATATGCCAATGTGCTAAAAGCTTGAAAATATTTACATGACTTTGCACATACACTGGAGTTTTTCATTTGCTCAGCTTCATACATTAACCAAATGTACATATCACCTAACCCCAGCCCTGCCACATGAAACCTTGTTGTCTGCATATCATCACTGACCAATTCCCTCTGAATGGGTTTCAACCCATAAAGGACTATGTAACTCCTGGATTCAAGATAAATGCTTTCACATGACGACAGTGATGCTGTCTGAGTAGAAACTTGAAAATGAATCCACTGCAGATTCTCTCATTTACCTGTGCAAAACTGATCACTGATTAACCATTTTGATCTTTTCTTTCCTCAGAACTGCAGGGCAAACCGGGGGATCACCAGTCTCACAGAGGCCTACAGAGCATGGGAACAGGACTCCCTGACTCCCTGACGACAACAACCAACGGCGACCCCTCTGTCAACCTCCAAGACCCAACATCATTTTATTCGGCTTATATCTGCAACATGGGAACCTTCCATGACTGCCTACAATCCTTGTCTATGTATCCAGTGATGGTGACGCACAGAAGATCAAACCTCACCTCACCCAGATGTGACCCCCCTGTCCCGACAGAATCCTGCTTCTTCTCTGGTGGGCACTAGACTTTGCCCCCCCCCCCCTTGCTGCCCACTAGTTTCACATGGATTCCTCCATTGAAAGTGATTGCGATTGCGAGAACAGATGACACACGAGAGACACACTGGGTCCTCCGCCTGTACCTTCGGCAAATGTGGCACTTGGTGATATTTTCTAGACTCTTTGGCAAACACAAGAGACTTCCTGCGAAGAGCACTCCACTCTTTGGGACGATGGAATTGGACCAAGGAGAAGCCAATGTCTGTATCTGACAGGACACTAACAAAGCAAAAAGAGGTGCCCTTTAAAAAAATATAGTGGATTGAAACATGGAAAGAGGGAAAGCAAGAGAAAAGAAATTAAAAGTATAACTATATCAAACCCTAGTTTGGGAAGCGAGTGGAGAAAGAAAATATACTGTATACTGTTGTAAAATTACGCTGGACTCTCACAAGAACTGGGAATTTAAGTATTGTAAATGCTATTGTATTGTTCTGCATATTATGTTGTTTCTAATAGATTTTTTAAAAAAAGGATGTGAACTTTTTTCTGTTTTTTTTTTTTTCTGGTTTCTTTCCACACTATGTGTGTGTTGTCTCTCCATCGAATTTGACCTCCTGCCCCTCCCGCCATTAAATCACAATGCATTTTTAAAAGAAAAAAAAAGTGAATAAACAGACAATTCGATCAGTCTGTCATTTCTCGCAAGCCTTTATTTGGATGGTAAGAGAGAGTGTGATGGCGATTCAGATGTCCTGTTTTTTTTTCCTTTAATTTTTTTTATACATACATTACACAGCCCATCTACATACATGCAGGGTGCAGCTAAGTGTATTACTGTTGCTGTGTCTTCACCTTCTAACTCTAATTTTGGTGATTTTTTAAATATTTTCATATCAGTTGATTATATGTTCCTCTGCTGGTGCAAAGATTTTATTGGTATAGAAAATTCTCTGACTATTTGGGGTCTTTAAACTCTTATAACTCAGTGGATTAACTCCAGACACAATGACATAAAGCTAAATACAGTTTTCGAGAAGCTAACATTTTGGATGTAGAAGGTTTTTAATCCAATTGCCACTGTCCAATTCATCATTTGATCTATTTTGTACTCTGTTCAAATGAGGACAGACACATAATGTAGGTGTCAACATGGCTAACATCAGGACAGGCTAACAAACATGATACTGAGCTTCAGTCAATGCTCGCAAACAATCTAAAAAAGATCACTGTGGATGGGAAACTACAAGTGTGTGTCCCACAAACATGTTGTTTCCTGTTTTTCTCTGTGTCTATGATTGAGGGCCTCTGAAAGTCTATTCTAGTGTCCTATTGATGTGTTTTATGTCACAAGGCCAAGCACTCGCTTAGCCAATGGATTCTCTTCCCCTCAGTGTTTGATGCGGCCTGATAACAGGGAGAGGCAGAAGCTATGGGAAAACACCATTTATACCACAGTCCATCTTGATTTAACCAGATGATGTAATGCTGATCAACAGACAGGGGAGAATGTAAAAGTCACAATGTGTGTGTGTGAGTTTCTGTGTGTGTGGCAGTATGTATGTGAAGGGGGTACATGTGTGTGTGCGTGTGCATACATCCTTGTGTGGGTTATCAATGCATCCATTATCCATTGCTTCAAACATGTATAACGCACATCTTTAAGGTTCCTTTGAAGACAAGTCATGTTTCTTATGCTTTTACTTTGAAGGGTATATATGTGCATCTGTGTTGTAAATAAATACTTTTTGTTCAAATAACAGAATCAGAACTAGTCTCACATTATCTTCCTCTATGCAGATGAGTTATTAAAACATATATTCATAGTTAAATCTTTTTAACGCTATGTTGTAAAGCTAAATTAGGCGCAAACATGTTTACATGTCAAAAAATGCCCACTGAAGAAAACAGAGGTCCACTTCTCTACTTAAAGGAACATGCACTTAAGTCAACCTTCCTCCCACTGCTGTGGATAATGTGTAGCTAATGCATGCGTTATGCAGTAATTTTCTCACACATGGAGAGGGGAGGCGAGGAAAGAGGGGCTCGGCCAGAAAGCGAATTATCCTTCATTTAGCATTAAAATTCATTTAGGTAAAATTGCTACAAACATGTAAATGGGAAGATTAGTTCTCCCTCACGCCTTGTTGCCCGCAGTCAAAGGGCTCCGCTTGAAGCCCAGCGCTCTGCAGCCGATGTTGTCTCCGGGATACACTGCACTTCAGGAGGCAGAGGCTGAGCCGACTGAGGAGACGAGAGGAGAAGGAGAGGAGCCGAGCGAGTTTTGTCTAATTGATACATTTCGGAGAAGCAGTCCTGAATCCCAAAGTCAGTATCTTGTTTTTTCAAAACAACGAACAAGAGAGAGTCTGTTTTATCCATAACAATATACGCGTATAAATCAATACTCTCCCCTTCTCCCTCCCTATCTCTCCTCCGCGCAACTATTGTGTTTTTACTGCCTTTGCCGAATTGAATGATATTTACACTAAAGAAGAAGAAGAAGGAATAAAGACACGCTCTTAAAAAACCCAGGCGACGTTTTAATTGCTTCGCCTCTCCACCATGGCTGGAAAATCCAAGGCTGTGAAATGTGAATTCCTGAGCCTGTGGCCGCTGGGAGCTGTGGAGACAGAGGAGAAAGCCCATACTTGACTGCCCTCTTTAGGGAGGCCTGGTAACTGTCCGGGGCAGCGACGTGTGGAGATGGCGCACAGCACCAACCCTCCTTTTACGCACGGACGTAAACCGCACAAAAACGCGTTTGGAAGTGAAGTGCAAAAGCTAAGACGAGTTACAAAGAGTGTGTTGTTGTTGAGAAAAAAAAGAAAAGAAAAGTGTACTGCAAAAGAAAAGTCAAAGGACTAGTATTTTTACATCTCCTTTTGTCTTAAATCTAATATGAAAACCAGGTTTCTTTCTTTAAATTATTTTTAAAAAAATATTTGAGTCAGGTGAAATAATTGTTGCTTTCACTGCATTTTCATTCCAGGAATTTTGTTTGACAAAGTGTTAAAACAAACAACAGGAGTCACTTGTGTCTGAATCAAACACATTTGATTCAATTAAATTCTGGACATAACTTCATTTTAACGTTTTTAAAAGATTTCTAAGACTTAATACTTGGTTAAATAATAATAATTGATTATTTGTATATAAATAAATGTACATAGGGTTTTTATTATGAGTGTAACTCTAGTGTAACTTGTCTTTTGTTTCATCTAATGTAAAAACGTTTACATGATTGTGATTTTGCATTTTGGTCACAGCTGACCTACATCTCAAACCGCTGAGATTTGAATACAAGTTGCCTTTTGACGCTGCTTTTGTCTTTGTGCAGTTTAAAACAGTTTTGATGCACAAAACTACAGACGGAGTTTGACTTGTGCTAATTTCAAAAGCTGAAAGTCAAAACGTAATTTGAAGTATGATGCTGGTAGGCCTACACACACACACACACACACACACACACACACACACACACACACACACACTGACCGCGGAGTGAACTGTCAGAGTAATGAATGGAGCAGAAATGTGTTCCAGAGCAGTGGAGGTGCCCGGACAGGCCTGTCTTCCTCCCACAACAACGCAGATATTTATGCGCCTTTATGGTTGAAGCAGGGAACTTGGACAAGTCACCGTGCGCCTCGTGTTCTCTGCTTCACTACAAGCCATGACAAATCTCGGCAGCAATAACGTGTGTAAGCTTATTAATTCAAACCAGCGATTTGTCACTGGTTGCTGAACACCGCGGCCTGTTAATCAAGCTGCTCCTCTCTGTGTGTGCTGAACGAATATTTCAGCTGTAACTGGTTTTATTTTTATTTCATGGTGAAACGTACGCGCACAGAATTTTGCATCTTCTGCGGTCAGTTTTTCACGCTGAGATTTTATTTCTAAAAATAATGTTTTGATGTTTTGTCACATCTACAACAGTGGATGTTTTGCTTAAGAGTTTGTTAGTTAAAAAGAAAAGAAACCAAATAAAAATCACAAGTTATACAGTAAATTCAAATATGAACTGAGTGAACACAAAACGAAGCTCTGATAAATTTTTCATTTTAGCTTTACTCTCCTCCAGAGAGCCAGAAGTTAAATGTTGGTCATAAAATGTGCAGATTATGCGGATGAACTGAACCAGCCTCTGTCACCTTCAGGCTTCACGACTACAAAGTCCAACTGCAGGGAAAAACGTGAGCGCGCAACAAGACAATATGCAACCAATCAACTTCCCATGATTTCCAATAGAAATACATAATACAGGGATTACACACGTGGCCGAGATGACAAGTCCTTTATGAAATCAATATAGACACAAACACAAATTAAACTGCAGCCTGCAAACGCCTCACAGGAGTAACTTTCCAAAGCCCTCAAAAACTCCACCTTCAAAAGGTCGCGCGGCAGCTGCTTTTGAAACAAAAGGAGGAGGGGGGAAAAAAGGGAGGGAGAGAAAAACAAAAAATCTGTTAGTGGGGAGAAAAGGAGAGAGAGAGAAAGAGAAGAGAGAAGGACTGTTGAGTGGGGGCCATTTTGGATGTCATCTGTCTCCTTGGCGACGGGGCCCCGGCCCTCAAAAGCCCCTTGGGCGCACGGATTGTTTGAGAGGAGCCCGCTATTTTCTGCAGCATCATTTATCACTGTCACCACATAATGATTCCCCTCGCAGCTCCTTATTGATGTTTGTAATTGCATTATCTCATAAGGGGGGATGATCAATGGAGCCGAGAGGAGCATCGAGGGGTCAGGAGATGCCGGATTGCTGTTTGTCCATTTAATGCAACCAGGCTCTCATTATCTGCAGCCTCTCTGCGTTCAGGCTAAGTAACGTTTGGTCTGCTCCCCTCTGAGGTTTCACAGAGAGAGGAGGAAGAGGAGGAGGAGGAGGAGGAGGGGAACAGCTCGTTTCATTTGTTTAACCCCAAGCCACTGCAGATAAAAAATTAGAAATGCAAAGGAGAGAGAGAGGGGAGAGTGAAAGTAACGTGATTAAGTGTTATGTTATTAGTTCCATTAAGTCTGAAAAACGAGATTCTGAATTAAAGCGCACAGCTTTAAGCCCTTGGGCATCCGTCTTGTAGTGGTCATATAACCTGTGATGATTTAACATATCTATAACAATATGCCCTCGTGGTTAAAGCGTTTAAATGGACCTTATGCATATGAAGAGAAGAAAATAAAACGGGAGAATCAGGAGAGAAAACGTTTCAAACTATATGATCCAGCTCAGTTTTAAGTTTGAAATGATGCGTTTGGGTTTATAGAGCTTTGACTTGTGAGATACGCAGCATCAGGGCCACGCGATGGTGCGCGCGGAGGTTTTTGTAGGGGGTATATGAAGTCATGAGATCCAGTTTCAGAGCCCCCCCACCCCGTCAAACAAAATGCGATACCCTCCCTTTCCAAACGACCATAAGGAATACCGACATAATTACTGTGACGTGGGCAACTTCAAGTGCCCCCACCCCACCCCACCCCACCTTCACCACACCTTCACGCACACACGAAGGACCATGGACGAAGCTCTGTCATACTCATGTCAAACGGGACACAGCGACGTGTTTTGGGACAAATTAAATGTTAATATTAAAGTTATTTTCATTATTGTAATAAATCCTGTTTAAGCCAAAGAGTTTGATGTGATACGCATGAAAAAAGCATGAAAGCAACATTTTCCACTGACGTGAAGAGGCATTCTTCTGTGCTCTTTTCAGATTCCCACATCTTCTGCTTTTGAAAAATAAAATTAATTAAAGTCGGCGTGGATTTAAAGGTTCCTTTGCTACTTTGGAATATTTCCCGCGCTTCCTCGTAGCACTAAAACCCTTCTGTAATCATTAAAAAAAATTAAAAAGCGTTTTCTGGCGTTTCAGTTTGTGCAGGAGAAGCTGCGGCTGCAGGGCGCTGCTCCTCATGGCGCCCAAAGGGGGGCCTGTCAGCAGGTATGAGTGTGGATATGTGGGCCAGGGATTGGAGACATGCGTACTGGTGTGTGCCAGACACAGGCAGTGGCACAAAGCCTGGCTCAGAGATACATCAGCTGGTAACAGGTAAACACCCCTGTGACTGGTTTGTGGGGGGACTGACTTCAGCTCGGGATGTTTTGTGGTCGCTCGGTGTGTTTCTCCGCTCTCCAGCTCATGACCAGAGACGGGACAACATGTTTTCTGGCCTCGGTGTTTTCCCTGCTCGCTGCTCCTGCTGCGGGGAGGGGGACGCCGCTGGCAGCGCACCTTTCCAGCGGAGAGAAGCAAACCGCGGCTGGTTCATAACCAGAGATGTTCCTGTCAGCACCTTCCTGAATATCCACCTCTCTCTCTCTCCCTCTCTCACTCTGGAAAGTCACCTTGGCAGCGCCAGGCAGGGAAGGCGAGCCAGAGGAACAAGGGTGGGGGTGGGGGGGTGTCGGCTCTTCAGCTCACCTGGTGAGGCCGGATCCAATAATAGTGACCTCCCCCTCCTCTCAGACACACGCTCACGCACCACAGCCTGCACACACCCCGCTTCCCCACCCGCTCGCCCCCTCCCACCTGCTCGTGGATATAATAACAGCAGCTTTGGCACAGAGCAGAATAATCTCGCAGCTCCTTCTTTTGCTTATAAAGTAAACGCTTATTTACAACCACCACTCTCTGCTTCCGCTTTTCTTCTCCAAGAACTCAGTCACTGAACTCAACGTTTCTCTCAGAGGTTTGAGTTTGATCCACTGAAACTTGAAACAGTGACTCAGCTGTTCAGATTCGGCCTTCGA